CAGGCCCAGTGGCTGCCGTTGGTCTCAGGGCTGGGCCTGCTCCATCCACTCCGAGGTCCTACGGTCCGGCCCGCGCGGGACTGGAGCCTAGTTCTGGGCCCGAGTCAAGTCAGGTCAGCTCCGGCTCGGCCTGGGTCTTGCCTTCGACCGTACCTCCTCCCTTCTCAGGCGCCGACAAACAGGGGTGCTGCGCCTGCGCGCCCCGGGAGGCGGCGGGATGCCCTCTCCGCGTAGGTCTTCCGGGTCCGCGCCATGCTGGGACACCGAGTCCTCGGCCGAAGCTGGGGACGAGCGGAAGTCAGGGTTCTGGGTAGAACTACAAGTCCCAGGAGGCTGTGCGCGCGGGCCGGGCAAGTCGGTGGTGAGAAGAGGTGTTGCTTGGGAATTGTAGTTTTCAGGACCGTTTTCCACCAGTCCTCGGGAGGTGGGAGTGGGTGAAGAAGCATCGCTAACCCTGGGAAAGCGGCGGACCGGCGGCACCACAACTGCATGCCACACACTTGCTGAGTCCCCCGGGAAGCGTGGCTCCTTGGCATGTACATCTGAATGGGTGTGTCTTCGTGGGTAGGTGTGTGGGTGAGAATGTTGGGTGGCCCTGGTGTGCGGGAACTGGGACGCCCATGGTCTGGAATAAGCCTGACTCAGGTTGTTTGGGATGCATGGGGCCTGACCCAGGTTGGAATTCTTGCCCTGCCATTTGGCAGCTGTGTACACTGGCTAAGTTCCTGGACTTGGTTGAAACCCAGTTTCATGGAGATGTAAACGGAGATGACAGGACATACCCTGAGGGTCCAAGGGGCCTGGAGTGTAAAATGCCAGTTCACCTGGGAGCAGAGTGAGTGCGCTGCCCAGGCTGCCCTTGCTACAAGTAAGGTGGAGCCACGACTCAAACTCAGGTTTCCTGCCCCCGACAGCCTTCTGATTGCTGGCCCAGAGGAAGGGAAGTCTCCCCACAAACTTGAACAAGGCTGGCCCTGGGTCCCCACTTCATTGCAACGGTGGCTTCTGGCAGGTTGTGTCCTGTGCAGGCTGATTTTTTTGTATCTTGAGTTACTTTTAAAAAATATGCATATAGCCCTCGCCAGTTTGGTTCAGTGGATAGAGCATCGGCCTGTGGACCGAAGGGTCCCAGGTTCAATTCTGGTCAAGGGCACATGCCTGGATTGTGGGCTCAGTCCAACGTGCAGGAGGCAGCCAATCAATGATTCCCTCTCATCATTGATGTTTCTGTCTCTCTCTCTTCCTCTCCCTTCCTCTCTGAAATCAAGAAAAAAAAATGAAATGAGATTTCTTTAAAAAATGTGTATGTAATTAAATAATTATTTGACAAAGTACATTTATAAAGTGCAGGACCCCTTCCTTTCAGCCGCTGATCTCAGTACTACTGCCAACATGTGCATAGCCTTCCAGGTTACAAAGGGTGTTGACACCTTTATCTTTGTCTGAGGTCTGGGTTCTCGGCAGCCAATCAAAGATTCCCTCTCATCATTGATGTTTCTGTCTCTCTCTCTTCCTCTCCCTTCCTCTCTGAAATCAAGAAAGAAAAAATGAAATGAGATTTCTTTAAAAAATGTGCATGTAATTAAATAATTATTTGACAAAGTACATTTATAAAGTGCAGGACCCCTTCCTTTCAGCCGCTGATCTCAGTACTACTGCCAACATGTGCATAGCCTTCCAGGTTACAAAGGGTGTTGACACCTTTATCTTTGTCTGAGGTCTGGGTTCTCACCCGATGTCACCCCAGGGTAAGGCTGCCAGATTTAACAAATCAAAATACAAGGTGCCCAATCAAATTTGAATCTCAAATATATAATGAATAATTTTTTTTTTAGTATAAGCATGCCTCCATTTAAAAAAAATGTTTTTATTGATTTCAGAGAGGAAGGAGAGGGAGAGAGAGATAGAAACATCAGTGATGAGAGAGAACCATCGATTGATCAGCTGCCTCCTACACACCCCCCATTGGGGATCAGGCCCATAACCCGGGCATGCGCCCCCAACTGGAATTGAACCTGGGACCCGTCAGTTCGAAGGCCGATGCTCCATCGACTGAGCCAAACCAGCCAGGGTAGCATGTCTCCATTTTTATAGTGTAGTTATGTCCTATGCAATATTGATGTACTAAAAATACTTATCTGAAATTCAAATTTGATTGAATGTTCTCTCTATATTTTTAATATATATTTTTTATTGATTTCAGAGAGGAAGGGAGAAGGAGAGATAGAAACATCGATGATGAAAGAGAACCATCGATCGATTGGCACGCCCCCTACTGGGGATCAAGCCTGCAACCTGGGTATGTGCCCTTGACTAGAATTGAACCCGGGTCCCTTCGGTCTGCAGGCCGACGCTCTGTCCACTGAGCCAAATATAAAAAATGTTCTATATTTTTTCCGGCAGCCCTACCCTCGGACCTCTGGGCTGTTGCACAGCACGGGATGGGGGCTGTCTCAGAGGGCGCTAGGTAGGTGTTGCTCGGTGGCCAGCTCCTGCAGAGGAGTGAGGAAAGGTGTCTTCGCTAAGGCTTGGAATGCCCTCCTCCATTTATTTAGCATCGAAGGACCCCCAGACACAGACCAGCTCCTCTCTGCAACTTCTGCTGATTTCTTGTCCTCCTCATCTGGGAGGAAAGAATCTGTCCTAAGTCTCAGTTTGCTCATCTGCAGTCTGGGGACAAACTAGTACCCAACTCTAAGGTTGTGGTGAGGAGTCATCCAGAAGCCACCGGTGAGCGCCGTGTAGTCAGTCAGTAGCACCAGGAAACCTCTGCTCTGGTGGTTGTAAGTCTTTCCCCTTGAAAGAACTCAAAGGTCACACGGACTAGGGTGGACTATTAAGAGTTGGGATTAAAATGAACTAGCGGGTTGGGTTCCAGTGTGAGCAGCAGTGGCCATGGAGACCCCAGTCCTTGAGCTTCCCTGGGCTGGGAAGAGCCGCGGCCATGCCTTTGGTGGACTAGACCCTCCTCGGAGCAGCAGCACTGGGCCCTCCAGCACCGGGTAGTGGGCTCAGGCCGGGTCCTCACACTTCACTTCGGATGAGGACCTGCCCACTGGGCCGGGCGGTCTGACCTGATGGCTGGATGCTCCCTAAACCCACATCTCATCTCCTTGAGCTTGTTTTTTTTTTTTTTTTTAAATGTTTTTTTTAAATATATTCCATTGATTTTTTACAGAGAGGAAGGGAGAGGGATAGAGAGTCAGAAACATCGATGAGAGAGAAACATCGATCAGCTGCCTCCTGCACACCCCCCACCGGGGATGTACCCGCAACCAAGGTACATGCCCTCTACCAGAATCGAACCCGGGACCCTTCAGTCTGCAGGCCGACGCTCCATCCACTGAGCCAAACCGGCCAGGGCTTGTTTTGTTTTTTTAAACAGCTTTTCTCAGATGCTTTTGGGATTATTCAAGGCAAAGGGTTCAAGTATCTGGTACCCAGGATGCCTGGGGTTCTACACCCCCCTGAGACTGGATTGCATGGCCTTCGCTCCTAGCTGAGTGCTCAGTGGGGCTCTGAGGTCAAGGCGACTTGGTTCTTCAAGCTACGAATTCTCACCCCGGGGCAGACACAGCGGATGGGAACCATTTGAAGTGAAAATATGAACATTATTTAATAACTGATCTTCTGTAATAAACCATTTGAAAATATTTTACAAGGAATCACACACACAATATTTTACAAAGTTTCTTGACTTTTTTGTCGCTGTTGTTTTTCTGACTTGTCTGTACAAAATAGAACAACCAAAAAAAAGGGCAGAGAAGAGGAGATGGCCCCCCAGTCCCCCCCAGATCCCCCGAGCCCGAGGTGAGGGGGCAGCCAGGTCAGGTGGACAATGAGAAGGATCAGACCCAGCTGGGGGTTGGAAAACTACCTGATGGGAATTGTTTTGTCTGTTTTTCCGTTTTTTAAACTTAAAATATATATTTATTTTTCTGTATATGTTTGATTCTTCTTTATTTTTATGTTCCCCATTGAGCACCTGACTACACTACAGTTACACACACGCCCCCGCAAGACACGGCTGGCATCGAGGCTGGGTGTCCAGCACGGACACCCACCCTGGCACCAGCAGCGGGCATGGACCAGACACACACACCGAGAAAGCGACAAGCAACATGACATTAATTAACGGAGCCATTAATTAATGCATCCCCCTCCCCCCTCCTCCCAGTCCATCTGAGCCCCATGGCCACATCCCCTGCCCTCAGTCCCCCCCGCAGCCCCCAGGCTGGGATGCCTCTGGAGGAAATGACCAGAATGAATGGTGTGAAGAAGTGTGCCCAGGCCCAGCCTCTTTGTGTGCACAGAGTGGGTGTCTATGTGTGTATGCGTGTGCAAGTGTGTGTTCAGCAGGGAGGAGCAGTTTGGCCTCCTGGGGGTAGGGAGTGTGTGTGAATGGGAAGGAGACAGGAGGTGGGCACAGGCCTGAGTGTGTAAGGGCCAGATTGGGGGGTGGGGTGGCCCAGCCAGGAGCAATCACGTCACCCTGCTAAGGCAAAGGGCGCTGTCTGGTGAGGGGTCCTCTGCCGGGGGTGCGGGCAGTGGCATGTGGTCCCACAGGGGCCTGACACTAGTGATAAATGGTAACAATGAGCACCTGGGAGGGGGGGTGAGGGCATTTAGGGGACACTGGCGGCTGGGGGGGGACAGAGGGGCCTTTGCCCCCCGCCCCAGCATTTGGCACTGTTTGACATTCAGCTTTAGATGGAGGATCAGCTGGGCTGCAGGTCAGGTTAGAGCGGGGCAGTGAGCAGGAGCAGGAGTGTGCGCATGCCAGCCCTCCCGCCAACCCCGCCCCTCTGTAAGGCTTCGTGAGCCCCACCCACCCCGCCCCGTGTGCGTGTCTGTGTGTGTGTGTCCTCCGGGATGTGTCTACTCTGAGTTCAGTTCCTGCCCTCAGGCTCCAGGTGTGTGTGGGTGTGTCTGAGCCAGTTTTATGTCACTGCTTGACACCTGCCGGGCTTGGGTGGAGGGGGAAGGGGATGGAGGCCCGAGAGGAGCAGGACCCAGGGGGTGCTGGCCCAGGACCTCTCCTGCCAGGACTGAAGCTGGAACGCACGGGGCTCCGCTGTCCCCAGGGAACCCACATTTGGTCCCAAGTCGGGTAGCAGGGCCAGGTTGGAGCAGTTCCGTGGGGCAGGGTGGGCAGTGGGGCCTGGTTTGGCACCAGTACTGTGGCTTCCCTGTCCCAGGGATGGGTAAGTCCAGCGGGAATGGGGGTCTGGAGACACGGACAGTTCAGCAGCAGATGTGCCTGGGCGCCAAAGACCTGCAGCGCCCTCCTGTGGGCACCCCGCACCCGCTCCAAGGCTAAGCCTCCGGGGGCCTGGTGCGTTCAGTCCTTCAGTGAGATAGGGGGTGAGGATCTAAGGGGGAGCGGGGAATGCGGGAGGCCTGGGGGGAGCCAGGAGGGCTGCTCAGAGGCGGCGCGAGGTGTGGGCGTGGACTTGATGAGCCTGCGGCCCGGGAGGCAGGCCCAGGAGGAGCAGCAGCAGCAAGGAGACCAGGACGCCCAGCGACGGCGGGAAGGAGGCTCCGCGGCCGCAGTCTGAGGTATCTTCCTGCAGAAGGGACAAGGAGCCGGTCAGCCTGCAGCCGGGGCAGCGGAGGGCGGAGGGCGCAGGCGCAGCCCCGGGAGGAGAGCGAGTGTCCAGTCCACCATCCCCTACTCACTGTCGCGTTGTAGTCGAAGCAGATGTGCGGGCCTCTCCGGTATCGCGGTCTCTGCACCAGTTCGCACTGCTCCGGGCCGTCCGCTGGGCATGGGTGGGGAGTCAAGGAGGCGGCCAAGGCGGCGTG